CCTGTATTTGAAAGCATATTAAAAAACTGAAAATGTCTATTCCAAAATGTAAGGAAGAAGACATTCACTTTATCTGTATGTGTACACATCCGTATCCTAGTGGATGTGTAATAAGTTTGGGACTTAGGGGTGATAAAGGATCTTCTGTTGATCTTTCTGAGTTAGCGCACGATGGCTGGCTGCATCTGTTCTCATCTGAAAACTCAGTTTAGCTGAAAGAATACAGCGGGACTATGGTACAATGGCAGGTGCCACACAGGCAGCCTCCTGCCCATGCAGCAGTCCCCAGAGAAGCCATGCCAGGGGCTGTAAAGGATGCTCAAACACCAGCTGTATTCAAGTGTGCATGTGCTTGTGAGCTCTAGGGCTCGCCGTATGGACTAGTTAGGTCTGCTCTTGGCTTTGGCTTGAGGCCATCCTACAAAAGGCATAGATCAAAATGTGTATCTTCGCGTGCCAAGTGGCTGTCAGCAGGGAGGTGAAACAAAGAGGCCACAGCTCATGCTCTCAGACTCCTTTTTAAAGGTTACATTACTTGGAGTATTTGCTTGGGAATACACAGAATTAGGAGAGGGGAAAAAAACAGTGCTGTGAGCAAAGCATATGGACATGGTGATGAGGAGAGTGAAGGGACAGCAGGGATGGAGTAAGCAGAAGAGGGCAGCTGCTACATGGGAGACAGCAGCTGGAAGATGCGCAGTGGATTAGATGTGGTGCAGAAGCATTTGTCAGGTTTAAACTGCGAATGTAAAAGTGAGCTGTAAGCAGTGTTGCTTTCTCTGGCCAAAATCATATCATATACTAGTGCTTTCGTTGTATCCTGCTGTCCTTTCTCCTTTCTGATCCCTCTACAGCCTCCCTGTTCCATCCTACCAACAGCCCTGTGTAGCTCCCCCTTCTCCAGTGTGCTCCCCCTTCCACTGCCCACTGTGACTCTACAGCCTGCACTTGGAAAACTTTTTTTCCAAAATGGAGGAGAGGCATTCAAAAGCCCCGTGTTCATCTCCTCCACTTTTACAACTCTACTGTTCTTAGCAGGGGGCAGCAGAGCCCAGCCTGGCTCCACGACCCTTTCTCCTAGGGCTCTGCACGATGCACAGTCCCAACATGTGCCATGAGATCATGTATCTTAATTTCGTTTCACCCTCTTTGCTGCTGCAGCACTGTTTCCTGCTGTCAGGGCTAATGGGGTCAGGGCTCTTGGTGCTTTTCTCATCGCTGCTCTGCGTGCTGTGAATCACCCATCACTGCTGCTGCATCTTCCCAGACATCTCTGTCTGGCTTTTCCTTTCCTATTTTTCTTTCTTTCTGGTTTTTAAAAAAACTATAGTGAAATAAAGTAAGTTGTGAAGACAGAAGGCCAATTTTAGCCGCAGTACAAGCAAATGAAGCTTCTGTTTCTTGGGCGTTATGTTTGCTAACTCCAGAGTCAGTTTAGCCTGTAACTGGTTCTGTTGAAAACTGTTGCAGGCAGAATTTGACTGTTTGCTTTCAAGGCAGCTGTGATAATAGCAATTGCTCTTTCTAGGTGTTCTTTATAAAAATGATTTACCGTATCTACCAGAGAGGTGGTTTGGCTCAGCAATGTTGTCTCTGGGAATATCTTAGATCGCTCGCAGGTCCTCGATTCAAAGGCTTCTGGTGCTCTTTCTCCAGACTGTTGCTTAAACTTGGATCTGGAAGCTGAGTGGCAGCCCTGTGAGCCCCAGCCTCCTGCCTTTTCTTGTGAAGAAGAGTCTCGCAGTTTGTGTAGCTGCCTGGTGACCTTGCTTGAGCAGCAGTAAAATCCACAGCTAGCATAAGCTGCAACACAGGCATGCCAAGATGCGCTTCATAATGACATATAGTTTTTCATGTTAGAGGATATATGTGGTAAGCTCTTGATTAAAACTCCTGCTCACAAATATGTAGAAAAGGTCCTATTCTTACAGTCCTGTTCTAGAAGTCAAGCTTGTCCTGTCACCTTCATGGTATTGTTAGTGGAGTACCTGAGAGCAGGCAGCTGGATCAAACAGGATGTCATAAGGCTAGAAATGCTAAATGGCACTTGGTAGTGCACTTTTGGTAAATTGGCACTTCTTCTTTGGGATTACTTTGGAAATTTAATTTTTTTTGGAAATGGATGAAAAGTCAGTCTTTTTTTTTTTTTGCAATACTACTAATGTCTTCTGTTTTCTTTCTCCATTATGAAACAAAGAGGCCAAATTGCAGCCCAGCACCTGCCAGGGCCTGTGTTCCCAGCACATGGAAAAGGTCCAGGGTCTCCATGGTGTTGTCCTCTCTGTGTGGGGGTTTTTCTTGCAGAAAGAGGGCAATGCAGCACAACCTTTAGAATGCCTAGTTTTATGGAACTGGCAAATCCACTTGAGTTTTAAGTGGCAGTACAAGTTTTGTCTAAGATCTCACACTGAAATTTAATCTTCAGTGAAACAAAATTGTTAGATTTCTTTTCGAAGACTCTGGCATCTACACTAGCAATCAAGCCTACAAATTGTTCCTTCTGACTGAACGCAGTAGGCCCAAAGCTTTGTGTGATTGAGATTGCAGCATGATAAAGAGTTATGTTACAGCTTCACGTATTGATCAGTCCATTTTTAATTTCCTCTTGGGACCTGGACCCTGCTAGGGGTGATGGATTGTGCTGAAGGCCTGATAAGGCCTTCTCAAGGGCTCCTGGAACAGAGGCAGTTATCAATACTGAGGCATGTTTCCTTTCATCAAAGGTTAGGGATTCGTTAATAGGCTGCAGAGCAGCTGCTGTTTGCAACACATGAGATTTTTTTAAATTAACTTGGAGATACTGTGTCCTTAGCCTTACGAATTGGCTGATTGTAGAAGGAAAAGAAATTGGCTTCTAGATTTTGTTTTTAATGGTATGTGTAATGCTGCACTGCTGTATTCACTATTTTGCTAATTGAAGCCTAGATTATATTTTAGAGTGATAGCCCTATGCTACTGCTTATGCCCATGTCTAGTCTGCAGACGCGGACAAATCCTGGTCTACAACTTTTGAATTTTGTGTCGGCTTACTGAAAATGTCCGCTATTTTTAATGTTAATATTACTGTTAAATAGACTCCTCTTGTAATTTTGGCAATCAGCGATTTTGTTTGACATTGGATGTTTCAAAAATGTTTTTAAGCTGTGTTTATTTTAGGTTCCCAGTTATGAGAAGGAAGCTCATCATTGCTTCCAACTGTTTTACCTTTCGTGTACAAAAATCCTAACATTTCATTTATAACCTATTTGTCGTAGGTGTGTTGCGGGTGTTAAATTCATACTGCCATTTAATATTGAAAATTGGATATATGGAAAGAAAATATCATCACGGCAAACTGCTACATTAAACTTGATTTTAAACACCGTTGTCAAATAAGCAGCTAGAAGTTTAGTGCCTTACAGAACTGTTTTCCTCAGCTAGTAGGAGTTGCTTTTATGGTTTTTTACTCATCAGAAAACAGTTTAAACAATATAACACCTGCTGTGGTGTTTCCTGATTTCTTTTTCATTTCACACATATTATCTCATTAATTAGCAGAATTCTGCTCATTAATGCATGGACTGAAAGTCAGCAGCAACACGTTCCAAGGAAAACTGGAAAATGCCTTTGTTTCTAAGCACAGATGAATGTGAATGGGTGATACCTAGGAAAAAAAATGAAAAGATAACTAGGTTGCAGCAAATGTAATAGTACAATGAACTAAATTCTGTAACTTGCTCAAAAGCCTATGTTGCATGCTTGGTGCCTCAGGAAAAGTTAAACCTTACCTGATTTTTCTTCTTTTCTTGATGTCGGAACTTCTAGAATAATTTGTGAGAATTGCAGTTTTCATAATAAAAAATAAATGTTTAGCACTGGTAACTGTTGCTTAAAATTGTGACTCAAATGTTTCTTAGGAGGTCAGAAGTAGAAAGTTAGATGAAAAGAAATATATTTTAGTCCTTTAGGTATACTGGAATTCTTTTGAAGTTGTGACTCATACCTAACCATTACTGGAATTCATGGTACTGAAGATCCCATGGGATCTTTAATAGGAGATGGCTGATACCGCTACTGCCCTCCAGGCTGCTGTTTACTGTCACTTCTCTTCCCCAGTTACTGTGATGGCTAAACTGTGAAGATGAGTGGGTTACTTTAAATTACCTTCAGCAATGATTAATTCAGATTAATCAACTAATCTTAAAAACTCTCTAGCACTGAAAGAACGATAATGATGTGAGAAATCCCCTAAGCTCACCTAATATTAAGTATATTCTGGATTTAGTCCTGCAAACATACTGATGGGGCCAA